TTGGTTGGGGGGAAGAGAAACTGGTACAGCAGTAACTCCTAGTGTGTCCTTTGCTGGTGAATGGCCTGTGACTCTCCTTTTGCTTCCTGCAGTTCTGCACTGAATTGCAAATTTTACATCCTCAGGTGCAGATACATCCCTATTCTGAGAGGGGTGCTCAGAGGAGGGAAGAAAGCTTAATGAGATTTAGTGCCTAGTCTGGTAAGTCTCCATGTGACTCCTTGCTTTGACCCCAATCTCCTAGTTATTTCTGTAAAGGAACAAGCTTTATATGGTCAGAAACAAAGAGAACGATCTCTTCTATGCATTTATTTTTAAAAAGAAACAAAGAAAATTAAAACCAGGCTTTGTTATCATAAAACTTAACAAACTTTGTCCTGTGCTGTCACAAGGCTTCTGAGCAGTATAAGGAAAATAATCTTTTGCCACCCCAGGAATAAAGTTATTGAAATGGTTGTGTGGACTTGTAGCAGAGGCAGAGCAGTTCTGTTGAGCATCATGTTCCCTACAAAGCACGGGGTATTGTGCTAAGTGAGCTCTGCAGAGCCAGTACTGTACAGCTCCAGTTCTGTACCCACCTGTCTACCTACTAGAATCATGCTGCAGGCCAGAGGGATGGGGAGAGGACTGCGTATCCATCTTTCAATGCAGAACATGCTATTGGGAGGGCCTGATGCCCTCAGAGCCTCTCCTTCCAGCTGCAGAGGCACAGGGCTGGGTGCATGGGCAGCAGTGTTTGGCTGCTCTCTGTGGGTGTCTTGGGTCTCTATGGGTGGGATCTTGCTTGGTCTCTGTGCACTGAATCAACTGGACAGGATGCTGTTGAGGGGGAAGGCTGCTCAGCCAGCACCAGGGTTTTTGAGTATTTGTTTTGCTTGTTTCTAAAATCGGTCCTGACTGCAAAGCTAAAAGCTTTTTCAGCAGCTGCAGAAATCTACAGTCTTTAGCTCACAGCCTAGTCTGTCATTTTGTGTTACATCATGCACTATTCTAGGAGGTATCGGGCAGCAGCAAAGAACCTTGCCTATGATTTCATAGTGCAGTTGGTTTTCTAACGATTCTTCAAGGGATCTTGAAGGGAAAGGAAACCCACAAATAAAATGAAGATACCAAAATATATTAATACCTATAAAGTGCAGTATTTATTTGGGTTAATAAAATGCAAATTTGTTATTGATCCTTTATACTGGATTTGATTTTGCTCAGCAATGAGAGCTTTGTTTTAGAACAGATGAGAAGTCACAACTGATGAGGCTTGTTTCAAGGTCTCACTGCTGATATAACAGATTCCTGCTTCCCAGTCTCACTTTGTCATTAATTTGGGAATTTTTGTCCCAAGAGAAATTAGCTACAGTATTTTATCTGAACAGGATTTCCCCTCTGAGGGAGGTGATACTATGGAAGGTCTCTAATAGGTTTTAAATTTTCTCAACTACTATCAGTTTATATAAAGGCTGTGTTTTGAAGTCAAAGTCCACCTTTCACCTCGAAATACCTTATTAATGGGGTAATACAGTTATCTCAAGTGGAACAGATACTGAGCTACTGAAACATTAAGATATTTCATTTTGAAAGCCTGAAGGAAGAATCCCAACTCATTTTAAGGTCTGTACATACAACTATCTGGTCTCTTTGGACTAGTTCAGCTTTGGAATAGATGGAAGAGGTTCTCTCTGCCATTGAGGTTCTGCGTACCTCTAATAATAACAGGGGTTTATCCCATTTTCCCGAGCCAAGGAGTGTGTGTTCTGTGCTGAAGGAATATCTGGCCTAGTTTACTTCCAGATGCAGTCTACGTCTGGAAGTAAAGACCTTTGTAGGAGTTAAGTTTATCTTGCCTCCTTTGCTTTTAAGGAAAGTGAACTATTTAAGAATATGCTGCCACAAACAGTTGCCACAGGACAACCAAAAGCTGTATATGTTGTGGTGAGAGGACGTATGAATGCTCTAAGTGGGCACTGTCTGTTGTGGGAATTGGAGAGCAATTGTTTTGACTGCATATTCTTGTGAAGCTTTCTTGATACTGGGTGCCAGTTCAGTAACTTGGTCCTCCTTTAAGTTATACCTGTTCTCAAATTATGTTACTGAAAATAAGCATTTTTTGTCATCCAGTTCAGTTGTTAAACCCACTCAGAGTTGTGAATAAAATTAAGTTAGCTGATAGGTCAGTTTATAAATTTGAAATACTGATTTTTGACTTGTGTTGTGCCACATTACTATTATGAGTTGGCCTGTTCTGACATAACCTGCAGCAGAATGTGAAAGATGCCCCTAGAGTAAAAAAATACTGTTAGTCTAAGCTCAAGCATATGCTGACAGGACTAACCAATGTGTCTTCCTGCTGGCTGCCTCGAAGGCCGTTTGCCATCTAGTGGCTTAGATGCATTAACGCCGAAAGGGTCTAAGTGGCAAAGCTGGTTCCTATTAAAAAGTTGAAGTTACAGTTGTTTCTCTTCCTTTTCCACCTCCCCATGCTTTGCAGCTGTTTCTGTTTCAGCTTTATGAGGTGACAAGCTAAGCTTTCCAACAAAACATCACTAGTTGTCACTTACTGTTGCCCATGGCAGATGCCTGAAAAGATCGGACTGTTGCCTTGAGTTTCTCCTGCTTTATTCCTTGAAGTTCCCTACTTTTGTCGTGAAAATGTTCGTGTATATATAGAGAATAACCTGAACCCTTACTGGAGTGTTGATAGATGCTGTATGCTTCATGCTCCTCAACTGCATTTTTGTTTCCCTGTGCAGTGTTTCTGGTAACTTGTGATGGGATTTAATTCCCACAGTTCTACCACCCATATTAACATCAGCTCAAGTCATAACATACTAGAAGTCTTTTGATTTCTGCTGCCACCATTACTGCTGCTGAGAAAAGCCCAGAGCCTGAGTTAGGACAACATTTTAAATTGCCTTTTCCATTTGAGAACCCAGAAACTGCCTAAAGGAGAGGGCAGGTGGCAGGTTTCCTCCCCTCTAGCTAGAATGCACTCCTAAAATGCAAAATCTCTGAGATCTCTTCCCGTGTCTGCAGTTACCCAATACCAATTAATTTCTTTTCTCTGTCCCCATCTTTACAATGGGATAATATTATCTTTTTGTTAGTTTTTTTTACAAGTTAGGTATTCTCAAAATTAATATCACACTTAAAAGATTTTGTAGGATGTACTCCTCTGCTATGTACATCCACATCTACACATTACTTCCAGATTACTTTAATGTTATCAGGAAAAATAACCAAAGGGAAAAAAAAAATCTGGAAACTTTTACTCTGAACATGGAAAGAAGAAAGTGCCTCGGAGGGGGTTTCATGCAGACTTATCTTAAGATACTTGTTAAACTGTTGTTGTTGTTCAAACTGAAATCAAGAAAGGCTCAGCTATTTGCCCCCCCCCCGGCTCTTTTTAACAGCTGCTGTTAGAGATGCAAAATTTTAGTTCAACTGTAGCACTAGTAAGAACAAATGTGACTAATGTGACTTCTGAGCCGGAAGCACCATGCTTTTGAAGGTAATGTTCTGTAACAGATATACTGAGTGTAAAGTCTTACCTATTTGGAAGAGTTCGAGTCAGGGTATTATTAAATTCAAGTCGGTCACAATTAAATGGCATCTTTGCTATTTGAAGGTGTGTTGTTGGTTTCTTTGTGTTTTTTGTGGTTCATGGGTTGTTTGTTTGTTTTTTTTTTTTTAATTACAGAGAATGAATTAAGATACATTCTTCTACCTGCAGCGAGTGTTTTCCCTCAGTTTTGGTTGTCTTTCTCCTCAAGTCGGGGAAGACTGGTGTGTTCGCCCTCAATTTAGAAAGGTGCTGGTGGAACTCGTATGGAGATTTTTGAGAAATCTCTGGAAAACAGCGCTTGTCAGAAAACGCTATTCAGCACGGTATCTTTTCTCATAAGCCAAGGTGCAGTTTTGGGGGGCTGTTTTCGCGGAATACCTGCTTGCGAAGCAGAGAGCTGGCGCTGAACGCTAGTTCTCCCACCCGAGCGGACGGCAGGGCCCAGCTAACTCGCAGTTAACCCTTGGTGCCACAGCACGAGCCCTGTTGGGCCGCGCACCGGCGGCAGGGCAGGGCAGGGCACTGCAGTGCCATTTATATCAGAAAGTGAATAGCTTGAAGGCCACGTGAAGCTGTAGCCAGAGAGTATAATTTCATGTTGCAGCTAAGTGGGTTTTATGACTTGTTTCTCCCTTCTGGTTCCTGAATGTATCTCTCTGCTACTTCCTCTATGTCACATCTAGCAGCTGTGGAGCTGCAATTAGGTGGGTTGGGAAGTAAGTTGATCTGCCTGATATGGTGGAAAGCTAGCCCTGTACAACAAAATAGTCGTCTTCCACTGGGGCACCCTTCTGACTTTCCATAGAACAGCACAGCTATTAACTAGATCTGGCCCAGGAATGGGGAGTTATGCATGGTCATCTGCGTCTAGGTATAAAGAAGAATAATTATCCCTTTCAGGGATAGGTTTAATACTAATTTAAATGTATTAGATCTGTTCACTGTATTATAGTAAGTTTTCTCCTATTTGACAGCCTTTCAAGGGGGCATTAAATGGTAGTTAACAATGACTGTGTGCACCTTTTTCTTTTTAAATTTTTCCTTATAGAGAAGCATAATTTAAAATGAAGATTAACTTTCTTGAAGGATCTGAAATACGCCTTAGGAACTTGATGTCAGATACCTTAGGGATCTGATAATGGGAGGATCAAATAGATCCTGCTGCAGTGGTGTAAAACTTTCTGCACTCTGCCAGAAGCTTTGTGTTCCTGAAGCAGTGTTAACAGAAGGTAATACACGTCTGCACTCCTGTGCCTAGCTTGGCTTTACCATCGCTAGTCAAAGTGGCTCTGGGCTACAGTAGAGCATTGTGAACTGGCATACCTGAGATGCAGGCATGCATTTTCTTCTGCTCGCTCTGCTGTTGCTCTCTGGAGAACCAGTGATTTCTGGG